TATATTAATTTAATAAAAATATTGTAATAAATTTATTTTACATAAATCTATTTATTTTATAAATCTATTTATTTTATAAATTTATTAAATTAATTTTAATAAAATTAATTTTATATTATTTCATTAAAAATATTGTAATAAATTTATACAATTTAAATTATAGAATATAAATTTACATGTAAAACATCGTTAATTCAAAATACCAACCGACAGCAGTGAAGTATACTTTCTTTTTCTTTTTAACACGCGTTGAAAACCACCTTGGATTGCAAGAACCACCACCATATATTATAATATATATATATAAAGTTTTTGTTAATCTTACCTCTTAAAGATTAGGAAGAAAATCATTCAAAAATTATATCGTTTTAATAATTTTTTATTAAAAAAAATTAAACTATCATATTTTTAAAGCATACATTAAGGTAATTTTTGTTTTTTTTTCATCTAATTTTTTAAAAGTAAAGCGGACAAACACTAACCCTTATATATATATAATAAGTGGAAATTTAATCATCAGAACAAGTTTCAGTTCAAAATATGATTATGTGCTGCAATGATGCCGGCCATGATTCGGTAAAAAAATAAAAGAAAACCCAATTTGAAGATGGAAGTGAATCCAGTGAGGTGTCAACTGTGTTTTTTTTTTTTTTTCGGTACATCAAAAATAAAGTAAACTCAGTCTAGACAGGAACTAATAACGGAAGAAGCATACCCCCAACTGATCTCCTGTAAGGATGGGTCTTAAACCATTTGGTGAAGAGCCCCAACTACATAAACCTGGTGATGAAGAATGTCCCAAGGAAGCTAGGAAATCTGCTGCAGCATTACCTTCAAGCAGAATATGTTGCAACCTGCAATCTTCAAACTCCAGCATCAAAGCCTTAATGTCTAATAGAATAGTCGCAGCCAAATTGTCCGGTTCTCGATTTTCATGTATGAAATGAACAACCATCAATGAGCCCATTTCAGCAACTACACGGGTTAACGCAAGAGCTTTGCATGGTCGAAGACCTTCTCGAAGACCCCAAAGTCAGCAACAAAAATAAAAGCAACACCCACATTAACTGTGAATCTTGAGATCCAGCAACTTGAACTATCTCTAATCAAGTCTCTTGCTCCAGCAATAATTTGTTTTTTAATATAATTTAATAATTAAAAAATATTTTTTATTCTTTTAATTTGTATTTTTAAAATATAAATTTAAAAAAAATCAAGACACTCAATTATGGTGGCAGTCAGAAAGGTCTTTTATTTAAAAAAATATAATTATGCATTAATAAAAAAATTGATAAAAAGAAAAATAAATAAAATAAATTTATTTTAAATAAAATCTATTTTTCTTAAAGGATAACTGACCGTAGTGGATAACGTACCGGTAGACATCTTTACTCTGTCTCGCGACTGCTACTTTTTCTGCATGAAAAGTAAGAAATAGTTTTCTGATTAACTTGATATTTGGATTGGATTGACTTGATTTGAATTTTTTTTTTAATAAGATATTATAGCCGCTTGAACCCAACTTCACGTGAGATGGGGAAATTGCACTGTTACGATAATAAGGGTTACTCGATCCAACCGGTGAGGTGGGATTGGCTTGACTTAATTAAAAATTAAAAAATGTGGACTATGTGTACGATTTCATTTGACGAGCCTATCCTTGTCGTTCATATTTAAGTTTTCACTCCTGATTGTTACCATGTGGATCAGTGGGTCTCGGGCATTAGACATTTTATACTTATCTCTTTGAAATTAGGTCGTGACAAATTACCTTAAACATTGATTATAAATATCAATTTATTTTTTTAAATTTGATTATATATTAATTTAATTTTTAAATAAAAATATATTATGATAATAAAATATAATTATTTAATTTTATAAATTATTGATATCTTAAAAAATTAATTTTATAATAAAATAACAAGTTACGAAATCCTACTATTAATAGAGCTTTTTGGATATTAAAAATTAAAATTTAA